TGTATTTCGCTTAGTAACCTGCCATGAAAATTATAGAAGGCAGAAAACAAAACGTTAAACATATTTAAGAACCCTTAGCATATTTTGTCTACTTCCCCATAAATGCCGAAAGCGTAAATGATTAGACAACAGCAGTCATGGTACTAAACTGTAAACAACGGCCCGGTTTGCGAAAACACATCGCTCATTAGACTCATTAGACTTAGAAAAATATTGGAAATGAGTCAAATTTGGAAGTCAGATTAATCCGTTTGGCGATAACATTGAAGTCAAAATGACAAAAGTAGCAGTGGCGATAACTGGTAATGGTAAGTACTTCTGCCAAGTAGGGAGCATGAATGAAATAAAAGCAAAGCAGCATGCTACCTAAAACTTTCTTTTATGCAAAGATCGGACAAAACTTTTGCAGCAACGTAGCCCATGACAAGAAGTGAATGTTTTAGATAAAGATTTCGCTTTTTAATGTTCTAAAACAAAGACAATAACGATAAGAACAAATGATGGATCATAACGTCTGTGTGGCCAGTCGTTAGTACGTACTTGCGCCACCAACAAAAGTAATAGGATAATCTTGTCAAACCAGTCCAATACTAATGCACCGCATCCTGCGTGACTCGAAACAGCACCAATACAATCCTCTCCGCAGGGCAGGCTCCTTCCTCATCGTTGGCCTTATTCGCAGAGAGTGCATAAAAAGCTTGATTGAGATTTGATAGAACCTGCGTCAGTTAGTTCTGTGGAGAATGCTTTCCTTCTATTAATAGACCGCGAAGGGCTTTCGATAGTGCCACAATTCGAGCACTAAGCCTGAGCGAGTTAGTCTCCGTAGCCTATACAGTAATAGCTAACTTTGTATCACACATGAAACACTGTGCGGATCCTAGCACTTGCTGGAACGATAATGTTTACACACCATCGCACATGGAGAGTTGCCGTTGAGTCGGACTTTGACGTAGAGCAAAGAAGTCGTGCACTCAGTAGAAACTGAGAAAAAATTCGGCATTTCTGTTCGAAAGCCCTGTAAAGAGTGAAGCAATGCTATAGCAGAGTAAGGTGGGACAGAGTTTCAACCTTTTCTTCCAGAAAACAGTTCGTAAATGGACATCGCACAAAAAGTATGATGGTATTCGTCACCTATGAGTGAGCGGAGATAGGTACCTATGGTTCCCGACGAAGAAGAGTAATTTACTAGTGCCTGCTCAATTTAGTCGATGATTAATCCGCGGCACAAACGATAGTGATGAAGAGAAAACTGTTTGTAGATTAGGCGATTTAAGCGATCGCCTAATCTACCAACAGTTTTCCCTTAATCGCGTGAGAGCGATATGCGACCCTCTCAAGTCGAAATCGTGTCCAATCGCCAATCGTTGGACCGACACGCTGCTGCGTTGCGCTAAAGGTGGCGGCGATCCATAACCCCGGTGTCTGGTAACTTTTTCGATACATTTGTGGTTTATTCTTCGTGTTGTCGTTTACGATACTCTGCCTCATCTACCATATTCAAATGGATCCTCACCTACTCATTTTTACGAGTCATCTTATCCAAGGAGCTACAAGCTTTCCAGAATTTGAGTAGGAGAGTGGAATAGGTCGCATCGGGAAAACGTCGTGTGTGCTATTTTTGGACGATAGGAGAAGGTAAACTTGTTGTGTATCTAGCCCCATCATTGCGAGATGTGGATCCTAAATTGAAACTTAAGCAAACTAATGAACACCTTAGAAGCACAGCATTACTTCCGATCAATAATCCTAACGTTCTTTTTTGTGGTTGCATCATCGCGGCAATCAGCACAAAATAACAAGTTCTATTCTTAAACTGTTAAATGATCACCAGAATGTAAACAAAGTATCGAACTGGCGTGAGCATTATGATCGATTCAGTCGACTCGATCGATTACATTTGTAGTCGAAGTTACAAAGCTTCAAAAGTGTTGTGAGCTTTTGAAGTATTACCACTTGTGGTTTCTAAAGTGCTAAGTAAAAACTGATTTGTCTTCGATTAGCATAACATTCCTATAATGCCTACAAGAAATATACTTTACTCAGTGAGATATCCTATCTGAATCGAATGACTTGAGTATGCGCTACTACATTCCCATTACACTCCTAAGTTCTTCACTGGATTTCGCTCATGTGTACCCTTATGAGGGTCTACAATTCGACTCGTTTTTCGGCAGTAATATCTTTGACGGGTACGTAGGACTCTTCGGTGCGCGCCGAGTGTATCCATGGGGACATTGTTATGCTTGTCGCCCAACTTTGTTCCCCTCGTCCAGTAATCTTCCCATGAACATCTGCTTAGCGTTACACATCGTTTGTTTCTATATATCCCGGACTAATCTAATGACAGTGTAAAGGTCAGTGATGGGAAACATATGAAGTGAGCGAGTTCATGTTGACGCAGGTCAATTTGCGATATGTCTCTCGTATTTGGTAGGAAATAATCAATGTTCGTTTTCTTTGGTGGTCGAAATCGTGGTTACTTGCTTAGTTGTTGTTTGGGTGTTGCCTCACTTAACTAGTTTGCACGAAGAAATTGTTGTTTATTACAAAATTGAACCATTTCCGTCCTAAATTTGAGAAGAATTCGTTACAAAACTTAGCTAACATAGTCGTTTTAAAAGCGTTAAAGGGTAGCAGTACCTTAAGACTATATTTATGTGTTACAGTACAAACGATTTTCATGATTAATACTGATTTCACTAACCACAATGACTGTGGAGACAAATGAATGCACTTTTCGGTGTGGTGCTTGCATTGTAGTAGATGGTAAGAACTGGCATCTAAGCAACGAAAGTAGTACTGCCTAGCTTAGATGGACAGTAAGAGTTCCTCGGAAACGTATCCATGTTTTTGAACTTGTGGATCTTAGACGTCTAGGTTCTAATACGTCTCTATTGCTACCATGCAAACCTTCGAAGAAACACGAAATGTTACGAAACCGTGGGATTTTGGCTCAAGGGCTAGTGCGGCAAAAGGATCTTGGAATATGAATGCGTCTGACTGAATGTCATGACTTCAACTCTACTATGTTTCCTATGGTCTCTATGAAGTTTTTATCATTTTATATGGAAAGAGAACCGGTTGTTGTTCATCCGTCACTATGTCCTTGGTGAGGGCATTGTTATTACTGCGTGTGACTGCTGTTTCAGCACCTGAACGATCGATTTTCAGTCATGTCTTCGCCTTTACTTTTCTCATCGAATCTCCTCCATTCTCCTCATCAACAATCATTCGCTCAAAGCTCTTTACATCGAAATTTTTCTAGTCGAATTTTCGAGAATCACGTACTCGTTTAGAGCCATATGGTCAAACGTGAATATTTAGACGGCGCGTGTAGCGGAGTGGTCGAAGGCGCCCTGCTATACAGATGGGATGGACTTCCGCGCTCCAGGCACACCAAGTCCTCTATCCATCCGGAGTCGGCAAAGTAGTACCAAATTTACCTGGGAGGATAGCAGCACTGGCTCAATGCATCGGCAGGCCACCGCGAGTCATTGTACAGGCCATATATGTGTTCAGTTACTTCCAAACGATGCCTACTGAAGTCGAATGCATGGCGCATCTCTCAGGGTTTGATCAACGCCGAGAGCTTATCCTTTCATTTTATGAATAACTAAATAGTAAACTAAAACATATACACATCCTGTATACCTCTGTATGTTGCAGTCATTACAATCCTACTGTAGGTGGTCTTATCGAAAAGTTGTGATCTAGAAATTTCGTTCAGTACTTGTCATGTAGCTAGTATTGGTGAGTTCTTCACATTTCTGTCTAGTCTCTTCTGAAGCCTAATTTAGTCATTCAGTGTTTGATTTCAATTGTCCCACTTCTATAGGATCAGTTTTCGTTCCAGTAATGATTTTTTGTCTAGTCGACAGAGAGCCATCTGTGGAGTTCCACACAGACCGGCGCTTTCATCTGTTTTACCAGTCGCACTGAGCGTCCTTCACCCACATTACAATCGGCACAAGTTGCCCACCGCTGCCCTCCTCTACCTTTCACTCCGCCGCTCTTCCCTCTTCGCTTATCATTCTTTCTTATCCTTGGACGCTATGAATCTCGCTGTTACTTCCTTATCACTCATTCTTATCTGTAAGTGTAACTGAGATCCAACGCGTGCCTTATTTTGGTTTCGGTATCACATAGAAGAGCTCAGTTGTTGGACAAACGTTAAGGTGTCTGAGTGTGTTCATCGAGTGAACTGCTGTGAAGCCAATGTAACTGGTTTCGTCATCCGGCAACAGGGTGATTATATGAGTTGTCATTCATTATGGTGTTTCTAGATTATCAGATTAGCACATCTGCACTACAAAGTGCACTGTGAATCGTAGAGGCAGGGCCTTTCGAATGAACACTGAGCGACATTTGCGTAAAAACGCATCTCATTGTAAACTCTCTACACTATCCAAGAGGACGTTGTGCAGATTGAGACGAAAATAGCTTTTGAAGGAAGTCAAACGTAAGAGAGTTCGTCCGCAGTGAAATTCACGCAAGTGCCATTTTGAAACCTGTGCAAAGCATGAAGGGCACGTGTAGCGCTTTGGTCGGAGGCGCCCTGCGACACACAGGTGGAATCGATACCCGCGCTCCAGGCCTACCAAGCCTTCCATCCCTCCGAGGTCGGAAAATTGGTATCAGACTTGTCTGGTAGGATAGCAACACTGGCTCGATACATCGGTAGGCCACCGCGAGTCATTGTAAAGGCCAGACATGCATTCAGTCACCTCCAACGATGCTTAATGAAGTCGAAAGCATGACGGATCCTTCAGGGATTGGTCAATTCCACGAGCTCTATCCGTTTTATTCTTTATGTGAAACACAATGATTATTTGACCTTTCGGGATTTCAGTCGCTGTGAAAAGGCATCACATCCACGATAGTTTTGCTTGTTTCTGTTTATGTATTATTGTTGGTTGATTTTTTACATTCTTGGTCTCGTATGTCTGATTGCGTAAAATGTAAAGCCTTTCATCGTTCCTTCAAATGTTTTTTTAGCCATGCCGATCACGAAAATTCACGCCCGTCAGATCTACGATTCTCGTGGTAATCCAACCGTTGAGGTAGATCTTTATACGGATAAAGGTATGCTTTAATCCAAATGCCTAGTTTCTTAAGATTTCAGAGAAATATGTGTGATGTTTAAGGAAACGGTCAGCTATTGAACCGGTTTTTACATTTCAAGTGTCAGCACTATCACAATAAAAGTACGAATATCTGAAATATGCTCGCAAATACAATCTTAGAGTTTGTGCATAGAACTTCAAATTCAATTTGAAATGAGTTTTAATAAAAATGGTTAGGAAGGCTTAATGTAGTAGTGCTTATTCCAGTTTTGTAAGTCGTATAAATTTCAAGGTTACCTAATATGGCCAGGCAAACAAGTTTGATATCCCAATTTTTTGAACTCTTCAACGTTTGTTGTGCAATGAATGCGTCGTGGAGCTGTGTCGCACAGGAGCGTTGGTCCGTTTCACTTAACCAATATTAGTGGCAAAAATTGCTGTTGTTGAGGCATATTATCGATTTCTTGGAAATAATTCTCTGATGTGAACTCTTTGTCGAGATGCAAGAATATTGTAATCCAAGATTCGCATAGCGGGTTGCCAAGCACCACCCATAACCTTTTTTTGGTACAGTTTTGTTCTCGGTGCTCCATTTTTCTCCATTTCTGAGCATTTCGTCATCTCTTGTTGTGTGCATTTTTTTCGCACATCATTTAACAATCAAGCGTTGGATCTTTTCCATTTTCCAAAAGAAACATAAGACAGATTTCATAACGGTGACCACTTTGCCAATCTGTTCGTGCAATCTATGCGTTATCCATTCGTTGAGTTTATTTACATTCGCTTAGTTACTCCAATTTTTTTTGTAATCCACGCAATCATTGTGCATAAGTCAGCTTCAGTTATCCTTCGTGTGGTCATCGTCGATAGCAGCGGTTCTTTCTCGATCTTCCTCTTCAGTGCATTCATTTCGATCACAGGACTTTGAAACCATGTTGCTGCAATTCACATTGAAATGGTATGTAGTATAAATCGGGGGCAAATAGCGCAGTGGTAGGGATGTCAGTCATCGCGGGCATGGTGCTAGTTCGACCTCGCTCCAGGCCAACCAAGCCTGTCATCCCTCCTGGATCGAGAGATTCGTGCTGGACTTGTCGGGAAAAGTCACTATCTGCAATCCAGTTGAGAACGCTCCAACCCGGCTATCGCAGAACTTCAGCTAGAATCGTTTCAACCAGCATTCTACGACATTCGGGATGAAATGAAAATCTTCAAGCATCAACCAGTGCCACACGTAAAAGTTGGAAGGTCTTCGTGGATAATGGATGCGAGAAGACGAATCGAATTTGAGAAGTGCTGGGATCTGTATACTAGACGTGAGGGCAGGTCATATAAAATAAAAAATAATAAAAATGTGGTATGAATACAATGGTATGGGACGTGATTTGAAAACAATGGTCCACGTTTGAGAAGACAGGACAACATTGATATCCAGACATCATGCAGGAAAGCTCTCTGTAAGTAGGGCTAGGTAGATTATTGAATAGTGTGAACCGTTTTCACTTCGATTTCACTCTGTGAAACATTTCGATGTTTAGGATATGTTTATTCCAAAGAAAAATGCTTCAGGTGTTTTTCGTGCGGCCGTTCCGTCAGGAGCCTCAACTGGGGTGCACGAGGCTCTGGAACTTCGCGATAAAGACAAGAACGTTCACCATGGAAAGGGTGTTTTGAAGGCTGTTGCTAACATCAATGATAAGATCGCTCCAGCTCTTATTGCCAAGGTTGGTTTTTACTGAAATTTTCACCATCGTTACCTTTATTATATGCGTTTATGTCGAGCTTTAATTTTTTAGAACTTCTGTGTGACTCAGCAGCGAGATATTGACCAATTCATGTTGGCTTTGGATGGGACTGAGAACAAGTCGAATCTTGGTGCTAATGCTATCTTGGGTGTTTCTCTTGCCGTTGCAAAAGCTGGTGCTGTTCACAAGGGTATGCCGCTCTACAAGTATATCTCCGAACTTGCTGGTGTTAGCAAGGTAAGTTTTTCTGTTTCTACTGTGCAGTTTTTTTAACATCTTTGCAACGAAGTGAACTTCATCTTCGGGTCCACCATTTTTCAATGGTTTTAATAAATACGCGTGTAGCACAGTACGGTCAGAGGCGTCCAACAATACACATGGGATCGATCCCAGCGCTCCAGATTAATCAAATTTTCCACCACTCCAGGGTCGGAAAATTGGTACTAAACCTGTCTGGGAGGATAGTAGCACTGACTCGATACGTCGATGGGCCACCACGAGTTATTGTAAAGGCCATGTATGCATTCACTCACCTCCAGCGATGCTTAATGAAGTCGAATGCATGGCGCATCCCTCAGAGATTGAGCAAAGCCAAGAACTTTATCGTATTATAATAAATACCTTATGGCTGCAAATATTTGTGAAAATTGGGTTCACTAAAGATCGTTCTTCTTCTTTCACCACCTGTTGTATTTCAGGTTATTCTACCCGTGCCAGCATTCAATGTGATTAATGGTGGCTCGCATGCTGGAAACAAGCTTGCAATGCAGGTAAATTTTAAGCGTGTTACTTACTGTTCTCATTTAAGACAGTCTTTTTCCTCAAGGAGTTCATGATTCTACCTGATGGGGCCTCAAGTTTCTCCGAGGCCATGAGAATGGGATCTGAAGTTTATCATCACCTTAAATCTGAGATCAAGAAGAGGTTGGTTTGGATGTTTAATTATTTGGAGCCTCATTTTGAGTGTTGATCCAGATATGGCCTTGACGCCACTGCAGTTGGTGATGAGGGGGGATTTGCTCCCAATATTCAAGACAACAAGGAAGGACTGGATCTTTTGAAGACTGCTATTGAACTCGCTGGTTATACTGGGAAGGTAATGTAAATTTGTTTTTGTTTGAAATTTCGACATTTAGGTTAGGTTCCTCGGTTATATATGTACTTTTTTTAGATTTCGATAGGTATGGATGTGGCTGCTTCCGAGTTTTTCAAAGAGGGAAAGTATGACCTTGACTTCAAGAACCCGAAATCCGATCCAAGCCAAGTAGGTTTGACATTGCAAAATGATTCCGTCACCAACATTTTGGTATATGTGGTTAGTAGATAAGAACTTTACATTTTTTAAAATACTTGTTATCCAGTGGTTGACTGGGGATCAATTGGCTGCACTCTACCAAACCTTCATCAAAGAATATCCCGTTGTGTCGATAGAAGATGCTTTCGACCAAGATGACTGGGATAACTGGGGCAAATTTAAGGTGAGTTGTTTGAAGATCGGTTATGACTAGGATGTATGTTCTTCTTTAGGCAGCGACCACTATCCAACTTGTTGGAGATGATCTCACCGTGACAAATCCGAAACGTATTCGCCAAGCTGTTGAAAAGAAGAGTTGCAATTGCTTACTCCTGAAGGTTCGTCAATCATTCCGCTTTATCCTCATTTTTTTGTTCCTGTCCAATTCCTTTTTATTATGCACGTTTACAATTTTTTAAGGTGAACCAGATTGGCTCCGTTACCGAGTCAATCGAGGCGGCTAAATTATCCCGCTCACATGGTTGGGGCGTTATGGTTTCCCACAGATCAGGGGAAACTGAAGATACCTTCATTGCCGACCTCGTTGTTGGCCTTGCCACTGGACAGGTGCGGAGGTTTACTGTGTTTAGTATGTTTCCTGCTCCTGTATTTTCTTCTGGTTTCAACCAAAATAAATGTGCGCGAATGGTAAAATTAACGCTTTTCAGATTAAAACGGGCGCGCCTTGCCGTTCCGAGCGTCTAGCCAAGTACAACCAGTTGCTCCGTATTGAGGAAGAACTCGGAAAAGATGCGATTTACGCAGGAAAGAATTTCCGCAACCCCAACTTCTAAATTTATCCTAACTTATTTTAACCTATCTTAGATTTTTTCTTATTCGACCCGCACAAACTGCTCGTACACTATCGGCGAGAGTCATTGTTAGCATGTTGTGTTAGGTAGTACAAAATTTAGATAGTTATGTTTAATTAACATCAAATAGACGTCAATAGCCGATTGTCAGTAGTTTTCCAGAGAGGTAAAGATTCTTGTGTCTTTTACTTTTGAACACGAGCATGAGTTTGAATGGAAGGATGAGTGACCTGCTATACCTGCGTTATCAATCATCATGTTAATGAAAAAGAAAACAGCTGATATAAGGTCTCTGCATACCTGTTGTTCATCAGAGCTACCCAGTGGAGTTTATCGCTGTAGTGACAATAGACCCTTATGGTTGAAAAGCCTGTTAGGAATGTTACTCACCACGATAGGAATATATACTATACATGCTGTCTGAACTGAGGATATGACGCGTGCGTCGAACATTTTAGTAATTGAGAGGTTCAGTGGCGATGAACAATTATGCCGGAATTCTTCACCGCATCAGTACAACAGACAAAACCGTTTCGACGGAGCTCGGATGGTGGACGCATGAATGGAACTTAGCTGCCAAGGACTGATTTTGCCGAAACATAGTCTTTTCGAAAACTACCCATTATACGTGCGTATATATATGCATATATATATATGTATATATATATATATATATATATATATATATATATATATA